AGAAAGAGTCTAAGCAGGGGAGGGGCAGAGAGACAGAGGGGGACAGAGGATCCCAAGCAGGCTCCGCTCTGACAGCAGTGAGCCCAAGGCAGGGCTCAAACTCACAAATTGTGAGATCATGACCTGAGCCAAAATCAGACGCTCAACCAACTGAGCCCCCCAGGTGCCCTGGGTAGTTTCTGGTTTTATACTATGAATAAAGCTGCTATGAAGTTTGAGTGTATTTGTATGCACATGTTTTCATTTCTCTTGTGTAAATACCTAGGAGTAAAACTGCAGAATCATTAGTAAGCATATATTAAACTTTATTTCCCCCCTCCCATCCTCTTGCATATGTTAAACCTTACACACCACTGCCAAACTATTTTCTGGATTACTACACCATTTTGCATTCCTACCAGTTGTTCCACATCCTCCCCAACACTTTGCATTGTCAGTGTTAATTGTAGCCATTCATAAATTTAGGCCATATGTATAGTGGCATCTCATTGTGGTTATTATTTATATTTCTTTGATGACTAGTGATATTGACCATCTTGTTGTCTGGTCATTTGATATCTTCTTTTGTAAAATGCCTGTTTAGATGTTTTCCCCATTTTTAAATCAAGTTATTGAGTTGTAGAAGTTCTTTATATATTTTGGATACAAGTCTTTTATCAAAAATATTTATTTCAAATATTTTCTGCTAGTACATGACTTGCCTTTTCATTCATAATGATTTCTTCAAAGAGCACAAGTTTTTAATTTTTATGAAGTCCAATTTGGTATTTTCTCCTCTTACGGTTCTTTTTTTGGGGGGGCGGGTGTCCTGAGAAATCATTGCCTAAACTAAGGTCGCAAATGTCTTTTTCTATGCTTTCTTCTAGAAGTGCTATTGTTTAAGCTCTTACATTTGTCTGTATTCCTCCATTCCAAGATAATTTTTTTGTATGGTATAAAATAAGCGTAGAGAAACATTTTTTTCCCAAGCTGATACCCATTGCTCTAGCACTATTTTCTTTTTTTTTTTTTTTTTTTAAGACTGTCCTTTCACTATACAATTATGCTGGCATTTTGCTATAAATCAGTTGCCTGTGTATGTATGCATGTATTCCTGTATTTTGTTTCATTGATTTGTATTTGTATCTTTACTCTCATGACAGACTGATTTGATTATTATAGTTTTATAGTTAGTCTTAAAATTAGTGTGTCTTCCAACTTTGTTTTTCTTTTCCAAAATTGTGTTGGCAATTCTAGGTCCTGAACATTTCCACATAGATTTCAAAATAGGCTTTCTTTGAAAATCAGTCTGTTGGGTTGTGACTGAGATTGTAGTGAATCTATAGACTATTTTGGGGGGAATTGGCATCTTAACAATTTTTAGTCATTAATAATTGAGCATATGTTTCTCTGTTTAAGTCTGTCACTTTTTACTCTAATGTATGTCTTTAACTTTAACTTTTCCTACTAATATTTTGTAGTTTTCGGGGAACTGGTTGTGTACATACTTTGTAAGATCTACCCCAACATACTGCTATATTTGATTTTAGGTGCTATTGAAAATGGTATTAAAGTATTTAATGAAAGATAATTCACATGCCATAAGCTTCATCTATTACGTGTACAATCAGATGGTTTTTAGTAAATTAAGAGTTGTATGCCCATCACAGCCTAAGTGTAGAACATTCTCATCACCCCCAAAAGTAATTCCATACCTACTAGCAGTCACTCCCCATTTCCCACACTCACCTGCAGCACTAGGCAGCTGTTCATCTATTTTCTGCCTATTTTAGCCATTCTAGACAGTTCGTATAAATGGAATCACAAAATGTGTGGTCTTTTGTGACTACTCCTTTCACAGCATAATGTGTGGTGTGTTTTTTTTTTAATGTTTATTTTTGAGAGAGAGAGAGAGAGTGGCAGAGCGTGAGCAGAGGAGGGGCAAAGAGAGAGGGAGACACAGAATTCAAAGCAGGCTCCAGGCTCTGAGCTATCAGCCAGAGCCCCATGCAAGGCTCAAACTTGTGAACCGCGAGATTATGACCTGAGCCACCCAGTCTTAGCCACCCAGGTAGCCCCACATAGCATTAT